AGATCTTTAACTTATCTTCCAAATCATAACTGCATTGATTAACAAGCTGATGAATTTCAAGGCAATAATAACTCAGTTCGAAATTATTTTACATTTAATATTAATAGTAATAATGCATGCAATAGATGACATTTTAAATATATTTTAATTATAATACATTAAATTGACAATCATTATGTCGATTTTAGCGAAATTTTCAACAATGCAAGACGTTTCTAACGCTATGAATTACATATCTCATTCCAGAATCATTTGCTTTTCTCTCGTGCTTTTCTTTTTCTTATTTATTTCATTGACGACATTTAGGCAGTGGCTTACAATTTCTAACACTTACTCTGAAAACAGCTGCAAGCCGAAAAGGGGAGAACAAATTCCTGCCCAGGAAGTGAGAGATCCATTGCACCTGTGATGACAACTTTCCCTTCGTCCCTCGCAGTGAATTATGGGAAAGTTGTCACTGCCGGAATGTGGAGTATGTCCCTAGAGTGATGCCAAAATAAACAAATTGTTGTTGAAGCTAGGGAAGAAGGATGTGGATTTATCGAAGGTTAGCCATATTTCAGAAAATATAAGTGGGAGAAGTGAAAGAGTCGAAGAATAAGGACTGGTTTTTCTAGCACTTAACAACGCAAGCATTCACTTTCAATAAATGGCTACAATTTGTGATCAAATTTATGGTAGAATTAATTATGCCAGAAAAAATGGGGGAGGGGAAAAAAAGAAGAGGCAGAAAATGTAAGGCTACTAAAAATAATTTATAGAATTTCAAAGCATTGATTTTTAAAAGTATTATACTTACCATAATAATAATTGATACACGAAAAGAACTAGAACTCAACAGTTTTTTGTCATACATTACAAATTTTCGATATATGTCTCATGACACACATCGAAGTAGCAGTGAGCCAACGCTCAACACATCTGATGCTTTGTCTGAGTTCTACCATTGTTGTTGTGCCATGTCGTTACATCGGAAGACCTGGATAGTCATGTTAAGCAAAGTAGATGAGGATTTGATTTTTGCTTTTATGCATGTCGACCGACCAGTAAAGCCACAAAAGAAATACTTACAAGTTTTCTACCGCATATACTATCAAGAACGTATACTTATCAAGTTTCCCAGTTTTTTCACGTATCAATTGCTATTAAGTCAGCGACGCGAATTTCTGCGATTATTTTTGAGAATTTTAGGAGATTTTCTAAGATTCCATATGTATCAAATTTTTCTACGAGGGTCAAATAAATTATTGACCCTCATAGATTTTCTTTGGGGATTCCCCCCCCTCGATTATTTTTAATCTTTGTTATTACTTTTAGATTTACATATTTGAATCATTTGTATGCTACCTGTTGCCTCCTACGCGGCAATAAAAGTTATGTGCAGCGCATTGTTTGTGCGCAACTTCAAAGTTATGTACAGCGCATTGTTTCTGCGCAATTTCAGTTAGTTAAGATTTGAACTCTTAGCGTAGCGTACGTGTTTTTATCCCGTATGGTCGGGAATTTATCATTTTCTATTTAGATTTTTAGTTATATTACAGTCCACGAAATAAAATTGCTTGTTGTTGTTGTAAAGTTGTCTTTAGTATACAGTCTAACCAGCGACCTCAGAACATTGGTCCGTCGAGCCGGAGTTAAATAGAATAAAAAATGGCTAATGAAGACATAACTACGTTGAACAGAAAACGTGGCGGTATTAAAGCGCAAATAACCAAATTAAAGTCGTCTGTCAGTGGAAAAAAGCGATGCCAGTGATGATTTTGGTTTCGAACAAATAGAAGTATTGCAAGAAAAAGTGCGCAAGTTAAATAAACAAATTGATGAACTTCGCTTGAATTATTACAAAGTGTGCAGAGATGAAGAAATATCAGACATCGAAGCTACTTTTGAAGGAATCAAGATGGATATTATCAACGTTGAGATAAGCCTGAAATGTCTTTATACTTCATTGTGTAGTAAGAATGCAAATAATGAGTATGCAAATAATAGTATCCCCAGAAACAAGAAGTAATTCATTGAATTTATAAATTGCCTGAAATAACATTACCTAAATTTTCTGGTAATTTCGAAGACTGGAATTTATTTGAAAAACCAATTTGTAGCTTTAATTTCATCTAATAGACATTTTACAGATTCTCAGAAATTGTTTTATTTACAATCTTGTTTAATTGGTAATGCAAAGCAGATACAAACAATAGGTGATACATTTTCTTCCTTATTTAAGGCACTTGAAGAAAGATATTATAATAAGAGACTGGTTGTAAATTCTCATATCAATGAATTACTTTCTATTGAAAAAATAGTGTATGAAAATCCTAATGATTTACGCTCATTAATTGATAAAGTTCAGAAACATTTAAGAGCATTATAGTTTATGGAATTAAATATGGATAAATTAAGCGAAACTTTGCTGATTAATATTATTCTTAGTAAAATAGATAAAGAATCGCGTAAGCAATTTGTAATGTCATTAAATAGTAATGATTTATGTGAATGGGAATTTTTCACGACATCTCTTCAAAAGCGATGCCAGATGTTAGAAAATATGCAAAACAAAACTGTATTTTCAAAACCAAAACAAAACATTCCTCCGCATAAGGTTCGATCGCTAGTGACAAAAACGAATAATCATAATAAATATGTGCCCGGTTTGCAAAGATAATCACGCAATTTTTAAATGTGAAACATTTCTAGCATTAAATCCAATGGAACGATACGAAATGATTAAAAGCTTTCTTTGTGCATTAATTGTTTACGGTCAAATCATAAAGTAGCTTCCTGTCAGTCTAGACACTTTTGCTCGGTTTGCAAATCAAAACATAATTCACTTCTTCATCGGAATGAAACCTCCATGTCGTCTGCAACAAGTGGGGGGAAAGCAAAGTGAAGCCACGCCCTTCCTAGAAAACTGCAAAACCGAAGCTGTTTTGAATAGCAATGAATCAACAGAAAAAGCCTTATCGGCGTGTCTTTTTTCGAAAAATAAAACTGTTCTCCTTTCAACTGCAATTGTTTGGGTTAGAAATATTTATGGCCAATTCGTTAAAGCAAGAGCGGTTCTGGATTCAGGATCACAGTCAAATTTTGCTACTAATGAATTCTGTGAGCGTGCAAATTTTAAAAGAAAGGAAAGAATAAATATTCCTGTTTCTAGTTTAAATGGGCAAATTTCAAACATTAAATATCGTACTTTTGCTTCTATTTTTAATGGAAATAACTCGTTCTCTGCTTCATTAAATTTTTTAGTTGTAAATAAAATCACAGATTTAGTACCTTCTACAAAATTAAATATTGAAAATATAGATATTCCTAATACATCAAAGTTTGGCTGATCCAGAATTTGTAACTTGCCATCTAGTCATAGATCTGCTTTTATGGAGCAGAAATATTTTATGACATTTTTATTAATGGACCAATTTAAATCTTCTACTAAATCACTCGCTTTTCAGAAATTCTGTGTTTGGTTATATAGCTACTCGGTTCTTTGAAAACATTCCCTTGAAAATTGTCAGAATTATTGTGGACTTCTCGGTAATGTTTAATAATATTGATAGATTGGTAGAAAAATTTTGGTTAGTGGAAAATATTGGTTGAAGAAAAGCCAATTCTTATTCCAAGAAGAAGAATTTTATGAACAACATTTCAAAGACAATTACTGACGAAATGAAGATGGTAGATTTATCGTAAAAATGGCCTATTGAAAGACGAACAATTAGGAAATTCAAAGCACATAGCCAATATTAGACTCAATCAATTAGTTAAACATCTTAGCAAAAACGCTACATTGCCAACATTTATATCAAGATTTCATAACAGAATATGAAAATTTGGACCATATGGAAAGGGTCAATGATAATTCAAAACCGAAACTTGAATATTACCTTCTCCATCATGGTGTGTATATACCAGAGAAATCAAGTACAAAATTAAGAGTTGTGTTTAATGCTAGTGCCCAAGCTCAAATGGCTTAAGTTTGAATGATTTACTTTTAGCGGGAGCAGTCCAAGAAGATACTTTTGATATTCTTGTGAGATTTAGAAAACATCAAGTTGCAGTTATTGTGGATATACAAAAAATGTACCGGCAAATTTTAGTTGATGAATCCCAAAGAGACTTACTTCGAATCTTATGGAAGAGAAACCTTAGCGACTCACCTGTGACATATAGACTCAAAACGGTGACTTATGGTACTAAAAGTGCTCCATTTTTAGCCATTAGATGCATAAAGCAAGCTGCATATGACGAAATGCATAAATATCCTGAAGCTGCCAAAGCTGTCTTGTCAGACTGTTATTGTTGATGATATCATCTCTGGTTTCATCAAACTTAGACTCAGCAAGGGAATTGAAAAATCAGCTTATACAGCTTTTTCATAGTTGTGGAATGACTTTGCACAAATGGAACTCTAATTCTCCTGAACTGTTGGATAGCCCTTCTACAAGCTCTGAGCTTTCATTCTCCTCCAAAAGTGATAATGTGGTTAAAGCTTTAGGTATTACATGGAATTCTCAGAAGGATGAATTCAGCTTTAAAGTCTCAATCAAGGAGAAATCATCATCATATACCAAAAGAGACATTTTATCGACAATTGCCAGACTTTATGATCCTTTAGGACTGATTGGTCCGGTAATCACCAAAGCCAAATATTTTTACAGAAATTATGGGTTCAAAAACTGAGTTGGGATGAACCACTTTTTTGCAACTATTGCTCACGAATGGCAACAGAATAGTTTCAAATTTAAAGACTGTTGGAAACATAAAAATTAATCGTTGCATCCTCTCCAATCATGTAAGCAAGATTTCACTTATTGGATATGCAGATGTTTCGGAAGCCGCTTATGGTGCAGTTGTCTACTTGATTTGTGTCGATGAAGATCAAGCTCGTCATCTCATTTACTAGCCAGCAAATCTCGTGTAGCTCCATTGAAAACTTTATCTAAGATTGGAACTTTGTGCATGTTTGTTATTGGCTCATTTCGAAAGTTAGCAACTCATTGAAGATGCATTTAGATGACATCATTCTGTGCACTGATTCAACGATAGCACTGTCATGGTTGAAGACTTCTCCTCATCTTTTAAAGACCTTTGTTGCAAATAGAGTCTCCAAAATCCAAAGACTAGTAGAGCCGCGACACTGGAAGCACGTATCATCAGCAAATAATCCGGCGGATTTGATTTCTCGTGGTGTTTATTCTCATGAACTTGTGACATCTTCCTTGTGGTGCAATGGTCTTGAACAGAACGAACTTAGTGATGCTTCTTTATTTGAACTTGACAAGACTCTCATAGATTCTTCTGCTTATCAGGATGAACTTAAAAAACCTTTAGACATTAATTTGAACTGCAATTTAAACTTGTTTTGGAATACCTTTTTGAATTAACAAATAATTATGTTAAACTAATTAGAATTTTAAGTCTTATTTTCAGGTTTCTGTCCAATCTGAAAGGTCCAGTGAAGAAAACAGGCCCCATTAGTAGTACTGTGAATTTCAAGATGCGGAAATGCACTTGATAAAAATGGTTCAGGTAATAGAATTTGCAGAGGAGATTAAATCACTTCAAGATCAGAGAGTAATCAAAAGTCAGGTAAAAACTTTAAATCCATTTTTAGATGGAAAAGATATATTACGTGTGGACGGTCGCTTAACTCATGCCACAATTAATTATGATTCTAGACATCAAATTTTATTGCCAAAAAATCATAAGCTTATCAAGTTAATATTTATTCATTATCATTTGAAAATTGTTCATGCTGGTCCTCAACCATTGTTACATTTTGTTATGGAAAGGTTTTGGCCTCCGATTAGTGGCAAGGACTTAGCTAGGGAAACAGTTCACGAATGTGTAATTTGTTTTCGTCATAAACCTATCATTTCAGATCAATTAGAGGCCGATTTACCTCCTGAACGTGTAAATTCAAATCTAACCTTACATACACAGGGATAGATTTTGCAGGTTAAATTAACATAACACAGGGATAGATTTTGCAGGCCCTTTTTTTAATCAAATATAGAAATCAGAAGGAAAGGACTAGTTTACATAAAGTTTAATATAGCAATCTTTGTTTGCTTAGTTACAAAAGCGATTCATTTAGAAATAGTATTTGACTTAACATCTGAAACCTTTATTGCATGTTTAAAACGATTTTTCTCGCGTAGAGGTAAAAGCTCAATGTCTGTTTAGTGACAATGCAACTAATTTTGTAGGAGCTCTTACAAGAGTTAAAGAAACTTGCTTCTTCAAGTTACTGTCCCTGATGAAGTTTTGGGTAAGTAATTTGGCATCTGAAAATATCTCTTGGAAATTTATTCCTCCTCGTGCCCCGAATTTTGGGTGGAATTTGGGAGGCCGGAATCAAGTCTTTTAAATTTCATCTTAAAAGAACCATTTCCGATGCTAAACTAACCTATGAAGGAATTTTTAACCGTAATTGATCAAATTGAAGGAATACTAAATTCGAGACCTCTTTCTCCTTTATCGTCTGAACCTTCAGATTACGAACCCTTGACACCAGGTCACTTTTTAATAGGTAGTCCCATAAACTCAATTGTAGAACCTCAAATTTTAGATTTGTCAGAAAGCAGATTGTCAAGATGGCAAAAATTAACTAAAATGATACAGATTTTATGGAAACGATGGATAACTGACTATCTTAATCACTTGCAACAGCAAAAGAAATGGTATTTTTCAAAGGACAATATAAAGAAAAATAGAATGCTTATTATTAAAGATGATCATTTACCTCCATTTAAATGGTTACTAGGAAGAATTGATCAGACAATTCCTCGTAAAGATGGTAAGATACGAGTAGCAGTCATTAACACAAAGTTTGGTCCAATTAAAAGATCAATATGAAAAATTTTTTTATTGCCTATTGAGGATAACTTCAAGGATTAAGTTTCATTGTTAATAAAATATACATTGTTCTTTATTATACTTATATTTTGGTAATTTTGATGAAAAATGTCAATATTTTTTACTGTTTGAAATGTTGATATACTTACCATAATTATTAAAAAAATTTGCCAAATGTTCAACCTTTATGGAATTTTCTGAATTGTTTATTTCATTCTGTAAATGATTTACTAACTTTAAGTCTTTATTATTGCTTAAAAAATGAATAGCTGAATTGTTAGCATTTGATATTGAATCGTATGCTTAGATTTAGTTTGCATATCATAGATATTGCAACGTCGGGTGGTATGTTGCCTCCTACGCGGCAATGAAAGTTATGTACAGCGCATTGTTTCTGCGCAATTTTAGTTAGTTAAGATTTGAACTCCTAGCGTAGCGTACTTGTTTTGATCCCGTATGGTCTGGAATTTATCATTTTCTATTTAGATTTTTAGTTATATTAAGGGCCGTTCCCACTGGGGTTTATCTGAGCTACCGAACCCAACTAACGTAGTCGACCCATCTCAAAAACCAGTTTTTTCCTATAGGGCAGCAAGTTGAAAAATCTGAACTCCAGGCGCTCCAGGCACAGCGGAGCTAGTCGACACATGGAACCGACTCCGTTAGCTCATATAAACTCCAGTGGGGACGGCGCCTTACAGTCCACGAAATAAAATTGATTGTTGTTGTTGTAAAGTTGTCTTTAGTATACAGTCTAACCAGCGACCTCAGAACACTACCTTCCGTTAGAATTCCGGAATTCCATGCTTCATATTATCGCAAATGAACTGTAATAAAAAAAAAAGATAATAAAAAAATAAATAAATAAATAAAAAAAAAAAAAAAAAATAAAAAAATAAAAAGTCTTTAGAATTTAAATTACGTCCAAAGGGGCGTTTTTTTAACGTTTTGTGTGTTACCTTTATTTATTAAATATCACGTTATTCGTACTTTAACCATAAAATTCAGTTCAATAGCAATGTCGCAAAGTATTTTTAAAATGAGCGTGTAATTTTAGAATTTCCGATACACAGTTCCGCGCGCTAGGGATAGAAAGGTCTCCCCCCCGTAGAGTGTTGCCATTGCTTGCTTTGAAATCCTTGAGTTTATTAATCAAAAATTCGTTAAAGTTTTACAAAATATGAAATCGATCATAAAAACAAATTCCAAATTTCAAATTTGGGCTTCTACATGCCCACATTCGCAGAAGGCTTACGTCATTCAAAATTCGATGGCTCTAGGTACCGTTGTTTTATCACAATGCGAGAAATATACATACATTTATGCAGATGTTTCATTATTTAATTTCTTCAAATATAATGCAGGATTATAATATTTGGTGGCAACAGTTTGAAAAGTGAAACGAACATGTATAGTGATTCAACGCAAAATGCAAAACGAAAGCAGTAATCCCACATTTACAAAGCTCTTTTGGACTAATAACTGTAAATATTCTCACAATTACAGAAAAACTTCATAAAAACTGAAACTTCTATTTTAAAAAAAAGTAAAATCAGAATTTGCAACGTAGTTAGTTAAAACTACTTCCATTCACACTCTCACATCACATAGATAGGATGTGGGCGGGGTGAGTCATAGAAATGCATTGCTCTTCTCATTTCTATATGTCTGACATTTTTATGCATTTATAAAGTATTTTCTCCCTCCTTTCAGCATGACTTCGTGGAGTAACGGTAGCGTACTCTGCGCGTATTGGAGAATTCCAAACGCGCCGGCGAGTCCCGACTCCAATCGAGTCCCGGCAAGGGCATTGATCATTTTTCACGTCTCCAGCATCAAAATAATCTAATGACTATGAAGTGGCGCCCGAACTAAAAGGTGGTGGATGATGATTTTAAACCACCCGTGATTGCGTCACCTAATCCTCAGTCGCCCTTTAAAAGGAGGAGCATATGAGGTATTTTCTCCCTCCTTTCTGCATGCCTTTGCGATGTAACGGTAGCCCACTGAGCGCGTATTCAAGGGGTCCAGGTTCGAGTCCCGACGAGAGCATTGCACATTCTTCATTGTCTCCTGCTCCAAAATATCCTAATGACTCTACAGATTCATACAAATATTTTATCCATATATAATCAGACGCATAAAAATGAGAAGATTATTAGCCCATCTTACTTTTATGTGGCTAACAGAATCTGGAACATTTAATCGCTTCTGTGAAAAGTGTTTTCGTAACAAAGTATCAATGAAATTAAGTCTCACTTTCTTTGGAAGCATAAACTAAACTTGAGACCAAATCTTCACAAAAGAGACTTATCGCTATGTCCAGTAAACAGACAGAGACGTACGAAGGGTGTGGCAGGATAACTTAACAGAAAGCACTTCTTATGCTTACAAACCAGCAGGTATTCATGACGTAACTTAAAAAGTAATGAATTCAAAGTAAAGCTAAGTTAAGTCGTAAGTAGCCAAAGGCTACACAGAATGAATAACTAACAAATTGGCTCAAATCTAATACCAGGGTGACAAACCTAGTGGTGAGAAAAACGCAGCCCCGCAGACAGACTGCAATCAATGGATTCAACTAGTAACGCGGCCTTCAGCAGGCGGAACACGCTCTAATTCAATCATCTAAAACCTTCCTTTAAATACTGTTTCTTTCTACCTCCCATGGAAACGCGCGAACTAAAATTTGCATTCTGGCAGAAAAACGGAAAAGAAGAATGACAGTAAAGCTATTGAACAACTGGTTGGTTAAAAATAAATAAATCCTTACAAAGTGAATCTTTAATTTTTGAGGCAACTTATTCGTTATTTGTTTATTCATAGTTTTAGGGAGAGTATTGTAGTTCATCTATTTGTTGTTATTTTATCACAATTTATTGTTGTTACTATTATTTGGAAGTTTATTCGAATCTTATTGTTTACAGTTAAAAATTGTCACATTGCCCCCCCCCTGCAAATGCAAGTATTTTTATATAATGATACTAGAAATTTGATTACAGAACTTCCGTGGATATCTGTAATAATAATACTCCATGTCTCGAATTCCTAAAAATTTCATTTGAAATACATTTAATGTAATTCTAAGGCAATATTCTTTATTCTAAAAGAAAGAAGATTGTTTATTTTTTATATCAATTATTAGAAAAGCACTTGAGGATTATCTCGCTTAAAGGAAGAAATACCTTCGGGGAGGATTTTCTAAAGAAAATTAATTCGTGTTCACTGTGAAACAATGGAAATATCCGTATAGGCAGCCTAGAAATCGAACCCGTGTCGACCTAGCAGCATTCAGTGGCCTTTCGCACTCGATCGCTGAGCAGCAGTTGCGGGAGGGGGTATCTGAAAGCTTTCATATTTTATATTATGCCAAAATGGGCCCTTTTTTTTTAAAGTTTCGAGAGTTACCTTAATTTATTAAATATCGCGCGTTTAAACCATAAAATTCAATTCAACAGCAACATCACAAAATATTTAAAAAGAATATATCTTTAGAATTTCCGATACACAGTCTCGCGCACTGTAGGTAATTTCCCCCCCCCCGTACAGCGTTGCCATTCCTCGCTTTCAAATCGTTAAGTTTCTTAATCAAAAATTCGTTAAAGTTTTACAAAATATGAAATAGGTAATGAAACAAATTCCAAACTCCAAATTTCGGCTTCCAGATGTCCATATTCGAGTGAAGAAATACATTATTCAAAATGTTGCTGTCTCTGGGTACCGTTGTTTTATGACAATGCGAGAAATATTCATACATTCATGTAGATTTTTCATTATTAGTGCAGATTCTTCGTTATTAATTTCTTTAAATGTAATGCAGAGTTATAATATTTGGTGGCAACAGTTTGAAAAGTGAAATGCCGTTTTATAGTGGCCGACTCAAAATGTCAAAAGGATATTAATAGTCCTTCTGCCTCAAATAGCTTCTTTGGGTGAAAAGAAATATTTTAAGTCCTGGTAAATCTAGATTTTTTGGTGCAATATTAGAAATGTGATTTTAGTTTAAGACATGTAAATTCCTTTATTGTCGAGATATTTCTTTGTATACGAAGGAGAAATAACATAAATCATAGCTAAAAGCCTTTGATAAAAACGAATTTAAAATACGCCAAGAGTGATGCAAATGATAAAATGTCTTTATTATTTCCATATATTGTCATAATTTTAGTATTCTATTTAGTTACATTTATTCTAAAATTTTTGAATACATTTCAAGATATAAATGGCATTTATATTGCCTTTTATAAATGGCATATCTAAACCGCGATCACTTAAGTGCTGCTCGAATTGTAGTTTTATTTTTTGAAATATAATTATAATTTCAAACAGAAATCGTACTTTTTTTTAAACGATCAGTAATTTTGTTTTTTAAATTATATTATGGACAAAATATTTTTAAACAATATCAAACCCAGCGTTCTGTGCTAATCGATAAAATAAAGGTAAATAATTCCGTTTCTATTATTTTTTTTAATGTTCTGATGCTGGTTTAAAAAGAGAACTGGCTGTCCTGAGAGTAGAAAATGGGCTATCTAAGAAAATGGGCGAAGACCTGCGCAAGACAGAGCTGCCGGCGAAACATTTTCTCCGGCTTTGTGTAATGTCCAAGGTGTACGTACTGTAAATTACAGTTGAACGCAACTGTTTCGACAAGAAATCTCTCGTTAAGGAATAGTGCTGATAGAAAGCCGTTTCTCGAAAATGTTTCTTAAAACGTCACCATCTGTATATGTGATAAACCTATAATGTTTAGATACACCCGAAAGAAAGACCTGCCATCCGGAAAAGCTATATGTAGTCTCGTTTTGGCATTTTGCGTTGGTTCACTATAAACGGTGTTTTGCTTTTCAAATTGTTGCCAGCCCTGAATTATATTTAAAGAAATTAAATAATGAAGAATCTGGATAAATGTATGTATGTTTCTCGCATTGTGATACAACA